TGCTATCACAAACGGAATAGTGTACGTAAATGTCCGAATATTTGTGCATTGCGCATATTAATTTAATCATAAGTACATATGTGTAAATCAATGTTTCTTTGTTTGTCCTCAAACTTGAAAACTACCGGGCCGTTTTTAATTAAAGTTATGTCGATAGAATTTTTGATAGTCGAGAGGAAGCTTTTTTTCAACCCCTATAATAGTTGGCTACTTTAGAAGCAATTCACGAAGGAATAATTAACTTTTGGCTCATACTAATCGAATACTTTTTGTTTATTTAATTGGCTATTATTAGTGCTCGAAAGTTGATGCATTATGCATTTTTTTTTTTGAAACTTATTAGACGATGCTCTCTTGGCCACAAATGTGTTTCATAAACATGCGAATCTAAATACAGTAAAACCTCCCTATAACGGACCCTCTATTAAACGGAATCCTCTTTATAACGGAAAATGTCAATAGTCCCGGTTCAAATAATATATGAAATTAACCTCTCTAAGACGGAACCTCTACAAAACGGAAACGGACAATTTTCGTGATCCAAATAGTAAAAATAATCTCTATTAAACGGAAAATAAAATTATTTAAAGATAAATTACAATTATGTAGATACATATATACTATGTACATACATATATATTTGGTGACTAGATAATCTTAACTTTATTATTACCTGAAATATCAGTCGACAGTATCGCTTCACGATTGTCATATTGAATTGTTTATTACCTTCTAACGAATATTTATAGTACAATGTATAGCAAAGATTAGATAAAGATTAGATACTTGTGTACATAATATGTACCTACAATATAATTTTGTTAATATGAACTGCCCAGTCGTCTTTTTTCTGTCGAATTGTTCATATCGTTTAGTCAACGTGTAGTGCTCACGGTCTGTTTTATCGTTGTGATTTCGCTTGTTTTTGTACTGTTTTTAATTGTTAATATGCCACGTACAGCCCTGACTTTGTCCGATAAAGTTAAACTAATCGAGTTGAAGGAGACACAAAAACTAAGTACGAAAGAACTTATTACTAGATTTAAATGTGGAAAAACTCAAGTTTACGACGCGATAAAAAATAAAGAAAAAATTATGGATGATTGGGTAAATAGCAAAAATTCCGGAAAGAGCAAAAGAGTGAAAAATCCCTTGTTTGAACAAATTGACCAAAAGTTATATGAGTGGTTTAACAGCGTTCGGTCAAAAAATTTACCAATTTCCGGTCCAATTTTACAAACAGAAGCTATGAAATTGGCTGAAAAAATGAATGTCAACGATTTCAAGGCTTCGAATGGTTGGCTAGAAAAATTTAAAAAAAGGCATGATATTGTTTGGAAACAAGTGAGTGGTGAAGCCAATGACGTTAATCAAGAAACTGTGGAGGAGTGGAAGCAAAAAATCTCAAGACTCATTGCTGGATATGAAGCAAAAGACGTCTATAATGCTGACGAAACGGGGCTTTTTTTTAAAGGTATTCCAACTAAGTCACTTGTAATGAAAAGTGAATCATGTTCTGGAGGAAAAAAAGCCAAGGATCGCTTAACAGTGCTCATGTGTGGTAGTATGGCTGGAGAAATAAGGAAGCCATTGGTAATAGGCAAGTCTAAAAAACCACGGTGTTTTAAGAACATGGACATTTCTTCATTACCTGTCATATGGAAATTTAATAAAAAAGCCTGGATGACTACAGAAATAATGGAGCAGTGGTTGCGTTATTTTAACGCAGATATGCGATCTCAGAATAGAAACGTCTTAATGTTCTTAGATAATGCTGCATGTCACCCAAAGATCGAACTATCTAATATGAAAATACTTATGCTGCCCCCAAATACTACATCAATCACCCAACCAATGGATCAAGGAGTGATTTACACGTTCAAATCTTACTATCGTAAGTTTTTACTTCAATCTTTATTATGCAAGATGGATAATTGTTCTTCAGCCCATCAGTTTGCGAAATCAATAAGTGTCTTGGATGCTGTCAACTGGATAGCGTTGGCTTGCAATAATGTGAAAGCTGAATGTGTGCGAAATTGTTTTCGTAAAGCCGGGTTTCTTTCAAATGAAGGAACCAATATAGATTTACCAGAAAATGCTTTGAAAGAAATGAATGAGGAGTGCGTTACAGCAAATGTTGATGTAGAAGATTTCATTACATTTGATAGTAAATTAGAGACGCATCAAACTTACGATTCGGTGACTTTTTTAGAAGACGAGGAAAAAGAAGAAGAAAACGATGATAATGATGACAGCGAGACCAATGATGAGCCAAAAATAAAAGATTTTAAAACCGCAATCTCATATTTAGAAGATTTACAAAAGTTTTCAGCCATGATATCTAATTCAAATCTGTTAGAACTTACCACAAAAGCTCGAGAATGTGCCGAACATGCTGCTCTTAAACACAAAAAGCAATCAAATATTAAAAATTATTTTTCTTAATTAAAAAAGAGTACAAATATCGAATTGTGTAAAATGTTTTTTTTAGTTCTTAGTTTTATTTTTTAAGTATGTATTTAATACATTTATTTATTACACATTTATTATTATTTTTATCACATTTAAATACAATTTTACCTAAAATATATATTTTTTAACAGATACATACATAAATACATACATAATACTTCTTGAAACTTCATTTTTTTTTTTTTTTTTACATACCTCTCTATTACGGAAAACTCTTTATAACGGAAAAATTGTTGGTCCCAAGCGATTCCGTTATAGAGAGGTTTTACTGTAACTGATTTTTATTTTGCATTTTTTGGCTTTTTTTACTTTATATGTAATTTTTTGTCATTTTTAAATCCTATTTTCCTTTTAAGTTCAATTTCTTGTATTTATAATTAGATTTTGTCAATTAACATCTTTACATGCATAGTTTTTGTTTTACACAAATTATATATAAATACCTACATCAAATTTATACTTTACAAAATAATATTTTGCACAAAATGTATACGGGTTAGGTAAAGATAATAAGATTCGATAGACTAAGGCAATTGCTAGCTGTCATTTTTACTTTTAACAATATAAAGTATGCTTTAATAGTACAATGTAATAATTTTGAGTAATTTTAATTATTATATTACTATTCTTTTTAAAAATAAAAAAAAAAATGTATTTTTACTAATTTTAAACAAATATTTATAATTATTTTAAGTCATTTTTTAATGTTTTTAAGATCATCAACTTCCAAGCCCTAGCTATTATAAATTATAAATCATTAGAAATATGCTATATAAAAATTGTTACAATATATAATTGGAAAAAAAGACAAATCTTGAAATTGAATGTTTTGGACGCTGTTAAAATGATTACTTTAATGATTTTCTATCTTGATTTTGGACATGTTTTGATATCAATGCATAAAGAACGATTAATATTGGTTTTACACTAGCATTTAAGCATGAGACGAACACGTTTCTAGCAGTAGCAGATCTGAAGCTCCTTTCAGGAGAGGACGAATTGGTATCATAGATTCATAGGGGGTGCAATACGATTTCGAAAGTTTTACCTTTTTTTATAACATGATTGTGAACGAATGTCGCTTATCAAGAAATTTGTTTTTTTAGCCGGAAAACGAACCATTGCGAACGTTTTCATAGGCTACGTTACTAGTCTTATAATTTCTGAAAATGTTTTATTTTGTTCGGGAATTAAATTGAAATTTTTTTTTTTAAATAAAAACTATTCGACATTAGTAATACAAAGTTATATTATAGTTACGTTACAAACAATACAAACTAAAATAAAATGATATAAAATAATATGAAGTGTTTAAAATATTGATTAATAAAATAATTTCGGAGTATAAATATTAATAATACTATTACATAATGTATAAACTGAAAAAATAAAAAATAATAGTTTTTAAAACGTTTTTCTATACGTTTTTCTTTTTTTTAAACGTTTTTTCATGGTCAGGAGTTCCAGTTTTTTGTAAGTATAAAATTAGATCCTTGTGGATTTTATAAATTATAATCATTATAATTTTTTAATGTTGATTCAATTTTAGATTTATCTTTTCTGGCTATAGCCTATAGGGTTATGTGAATTGTTTTGATAGTTTAATAGCAGAAAACCATTATACCTACTAATTATTTTAAAAATTTGTAATTGACTAACACCAAATCTGGCAACACCACATTATTAAAGGCAGGTAAAAACGTTATATCACCCATTTTTAGGTACTAACAATGACGTAACTGAAAACAAATTTTTAGGCGGGGGAAGATCCAAATATGTTTTAATATACTTTACCAGGGATGAACAACTCAAAATTATTTAAGGGCCAATTTTTAGGAAATTAAAAAATAAAATAAAAAGGTCATTCAAAATATGCATTTATTAATTAGCATTCATTTTGTTTGTAATGTGAATTTTTAACTTTTTTCGTTGTATGATGTAGCACGGGCCAGATAAAAAAGGCTCGCAGGCCGCCAGTTGTCACTGGTTTCTATTTTTTTTTTTTGTGTCCAGGTAGTTAGGTACCTACATCACATAATACGAGAATCAAAAAGTAGAAAATTATAGAACTGTTCATTTTAATTGCGTATTTGTATAATATCATGTATTTAAACTGAAACAAAACGGAATAGATGGATAAATTTTCACTCGGCCCAAATCGTCGGGTAACGCGACTAGTTTTATGCATACAGGCACGGATATCCGCGTATTAATGTCATCATATTATATTATGTAGGTACGCTATATAAATGATGTGAGCACTCGAATGCGCCACGCAAGTGTCGCGGTCGTGATGATGTCATACGGAAGTTTGTACTAGAGATATTATGTAGTTTATTATTTTTTGTTAGGTTATATCTACCTAAAGTTATTGGTAATAACTAATAACTAATAACTATATTGACGTATTTCAATATCGTTCAAAGCACAACGAAAACTTGTGCGTTTTTCTTGCCCGCCACACCGGCAGTGTCGGAGTCGGCGGCGTGTCGATTACGCTCGTGTAATAATTTATGCATGTTAATCAGTTGCAGATATTATGTGGGCGCGCGAAATGTAGGCGTCGGGCGAGCTAGCATGCGGAGCGCCAGCACAGTGAGCGGCCCTCTACTGTCTGTTTCAACGCCTGCCAGCCAACAAAACCGGTTCGCTGCCGTCCACCTGCTCACTGGCCAATTATTGTATTTCATTGTCGAGGTGAGTGTAAAATGACGACTTCGACGGCGACGGTGGTGGAGAATAAGAAGAAGTAGAAGAAGAAGAAGAAGAAGAAGAAGAAGAAAAAATAGAAAAGATCAAATACGAGAGAGAGGAAGAGAGACCGACGATAGGGAGTGATGGGGGAGGGGCGAGAGAAAGAGAGAGAGTGAGCGAGTGAGAGAAAGAAAATATTTTTATTTTTCTGTACATTGTTTACCGGCCAAATATTATTAAGTCCGCGAATTTCGACTGCGATGATGGTAGATATATATCATACACGTCTCGCACGATTTATACGAGTCCGCCACGGCCATAGTATATACCGTAAAATATAATATTGTATACACCTATATGCGCGTATAACACTAGGTAGCTAAACATAACAATACCTACGAGTTTTTGTGGTAGACGTGTTATAAACTGGATCACTGGAAACCGGCATGGAATTCGGGTATATCCACGATAGAATAAATAATATCATATTGTCATAGTGCGTGAATATAAAACAAAAAAAAAAAAAATAAATAATATTTTTTTCTTTTGTAATATACGACCGACCTACATAATATAAATATTAATGTAAAAAAATATTATATTTGGTCGCGGCCGACGACCATCGCATTGCGCGTTTGGCTCACTCCAAACATATTTTAACAAATCAATTTTATCGTCGTGTCTAATAAAAAAGTGTATGTATGCGTGTGTGTATGTGTGATATATAGAGAGAAAGAGATTTATATCGGGTGATCCATTTAACGTAAGACACACTCCTGTGACTGTTTATTGAAAATATTCATTTTGCATGCCTATTTTTTCTAAAAAAAAATATTTATATTTATATTTTTTTTTATTTTTTACTCTTTTCATTGACATCGTGCATTTTGAATTCCTTATTCCTTGTTTTACTCGTAAAAGCAGAATAGTTTTTGAATTACTTTAATGTATAAAAATCAAATTTTGGACTAGTAGTTTATGATACGTGTTAAAAGTTTAGATGAGCTGAGAGTAAAATAATAAAGATCATCTACAAAAATTTGGTTCAATACTCCGTACATAAAAACTTTAATTACTTATAACTTATAAACTACTTTCCAAAATTGGATTTATATAGATCAAAATCAGACTTAAAAAATATTGTTTTATAACGACTTAAAATTACACAAAAAAAAATGTTTTCGTAAACGTTGATATTTTTTTAAATAACAAGTGTCTTGTATACGTTAAATGATTCACTCCGTAGTCCGTATGTATTGAGATTTGAATTATTCAATATTCGTTATTTGGACTTCGGACTATGTATAATATATAAACTTAATATGTATTTTAGGGCAAATCTCGGGTGAAAGAAGTATATTCCCAGCTGACGACTTACATGATTGCCCAAGGAATGCAAGACGTCGAATTGTTTGCACTGGCATTTATTCTAGGTAAGTCCGAGTATTACTACACTATATAAATATCACAATGGTAGTATAATGGTATCTACGTATATGTGAAATTCTCTGTTACTACAACAAATGTTAAATGAATCAAACGATACATATTTAACTTATAACCTGCGACCATATTATACACACTGTAAACACGATCACATTTTACTACACTAGTACGAATGATATCTGTTTGTATATAAACTATTCAAACGATTTTATAAACATACATATCATTTAAATAAATAATAATACGAAACTAAAAGATATTGTGATGATAATTATTAATCACTTATTTATATGCGTTTGTAATAAGATGAATGTTACACGATTCATTGCATATATTATTATAGTATAGGATTTCAAATTTTCAATATATTTATAATCGAAGATATGATTGATATTAAAATAAAATAATTTTTTTTTATCGCTATGCCCGCAAAACATAATTTTTCAACTACTCTACATTTACAATAATATTTTCAATTAATTTTATTATTTCACAAATACCGTTTATAATACGTACACTGTAGTAATATATACAAATCCGTTATGAATGCCAACGCGTTGTATATGTAATCTACTCGTGTGTGTGTATTATACACGTACGTATATATTTCGATTGTATGTAACTGTTTAAATTAATGTATATACAAATAAATTATGCATAATAATGTTATTTATCGTTTTGATTATTATACATGAAAATAAATCCGATCTCATATTTTAATATCTAACTGTTTATTTTAAAAATAAACATCAATTCAATATTAAATGACGTGTTTGTAGTGCAAAACTATAGATATGAAAAACAGGTATAATGTTGTAACGACAATAATAATAATTGATAATATAGCATAGTAATCTAGATAGTTTTATATATATATATAATATAATACTAACTACTAATAAGCTAAAATAATACAATATTGTGTCAAGGCGCATTGTGTAGACAATTCAAGCACATCGAAGTTAAGTGATTATGATGTTAATAATTGTTTTTTATGTTTCAGACGAAGAATATTTTTTCACTGACCCCGAAAGTAAACTGTCCAAGTATTCGCCAAAAAGTTGGAAATCCTCTTCGACATTTGTGAGTATCATTTTCAATAAAAATTTATTAAAAGTAATTTATTCATTTTTACTTTATTTTGCGCTTCAGAGTTTACAGTGAAAACTGTAGACCGTTGTGTTAATCTATGTCCTACGATACGATTGAAATTATTGAAATTAATTTAATTTTAGTTTGATATAATTTTACCAAATATATTTATAGTTGTGCAATGTTAAAAACTATTTATAATTTTCTTATTCTACAATACGGATTTGTATAGTTAGTTATCTTCGTCGTTATAGGCATTCTTATTAGTGAGGTGGGCGGAAAAAAATACTCTAAAAAGAGATTTTATTTTTTAAATATTAATTTATAATTCCGTTCAGACTGCCGGTTGGTACGTATAATAATTATGAGTTACAACCCGTGCGAGAAGGGAAATTTATTATGCAACTGTCTCGATTTATTCTGGACGTATATATACATATATACATATTATATATATATATATGCGTGCATACTCAATAATTGGTTTTTAAGTTGTCAAAATGATATGTTGTTTTGATACTCACAACAACAAATACGTATATATATATATATATATATATAGTTAATCGTAATATCTGTAGATTTTCGGCCAGATCCAAGGTCACGGTAGATTATTGTGTTCCTTCCAGCTAAAGACATAAGTATACCTGTGCAAGATTGCAAGAAAGTATTACATCATGCTAAATAAAAACGGGTTTAATCCCTTCTTTGTCTTCCTCGTTCATTATTTACATATTATATTTATAATACACACTCATGTATTTGATTACAAGTCAACATCGGTATTTTAATTTTTTTTTTTTTTTTGTTTTATCACGCCCTAGGGTCTCGATCAAAACGGCCAACCTCTACTCCAGTTGCATTTACGCGTCAAGTTCTACGTCGACACTACTAAATCTCTACGGTAATTACAACGTATACACATATATCCACTCACACATACGCACACACACACACACACACACACACATTTATATATAGAGCGATAGATATATTATATATAATTTTAATTCGTATTTCTTTTTTTTTTTTTTTTTATAATAGCCGCCGAGAATATATGATGTGTTTGTGTGTGTTCATATTTTATTACATTATACGTTAATACTTATTCAAGTCGCCGGACAAAAATGTTTGAATAAATATTAAACGAGTCATTAAGTTATTTAAAAGTCATATTATTCGACTGGTAGCACGAAGCGTTTGCGTGCGTACAGTTTAATGCATTCGTGGAATTTATGTACATTATACATGTATAGTTAGTTATGCGAGCGATTTTATACATTTTATATTTATATGCGTGTATCATATATATACCTATATACATAAATAAATACCGTGTGATCGACAGTAAATTATGCATTAAAATAATTATAAAAATATTTACGACTTATTAGCTGTCATTGCGTAAAGAATTTTTTCTGACGTCAATTCGGTAGGGAGGCGATGAATGCGGATAAAAAAATCTCGCGTAAGAAAACGATGAAAATTCGAACAAATAATTATAATTTCGATAACAATAGTGCGTAATAATATAATACATGCTATAAGTTTTTAAATCGTAGGAGATCTTCATAATGTATAATATATAGCTGTATAGGTATAAAAATGCGGAATTAATTCTTACCACCTCACGTATATATATTATATATAAGTAGATATTAGATATTTTACTACTTATGAATAATATATGTATTTCGTCGATTGTGATTTTAATAAAAGGGTTAAAAACGTTATGTCGGACTAAGAACGAATTCTTAACATAAATACGCACATATAGGTTAGGTTATTTTATTTCGACTGCATTTTGTATTAATATTGAAGTGAAGAGCGTTTGAGTGGGTGGGCAGTGGCTGTGAGTGATACAATACGGACATACGGTCGTTCATATATCTCTATTTGATAATACCTCATTTTATCATTAATTTTGTCATCGCCAACAATTCTACAATATAATAATATATTATATTGCGAGGCTATGTATACGGTGTTCGTGTACTGCAACATAAACATTATATGATTTATATATAATTAATAATTATTTCCATAAAGACTTCAAAACTCGAACACTAAATTCATATGAAATAAATCACTACACAGTACCTATACTCAAGTCACTTCACCAAAGAGTTAAAAATCACCAAGATTTACTAATTAAATATTTTTTTCTTCTCGCACTATTACCCAAAATCCTAACAGACGGTTAAATATATGCTGCTGGCTTATAGAGAATTACTTTTCTAGTCATGCCCAACCGACCACTGTTTTGGTGACTGGATGGCATGCGTACATTTATTGAAATGTTATCATATTATTATATTAAATTGGACACTTCTGCTTTGCAGAGATGACATCACCCGGCAACACTATTATCTTCAGCTGCGCAAAAATATTGCGGACAGGGGCGGCACCACGGAGGACGGAGACCAGAACGTACTGCCGCTGGTGGCACTTGGCCTACAGGCAGACCTCGGCGATCACACTTCTGACACAGATATATCGTCCGAGCTGCTCGAGCAGTACCTCCCGTCAAAGGTATTGATGAGTACTGATATATGCACTCTAGTAACTTGCAGCGTTACCTATTATATTGCTACAGTGTGTTATAATTTTCTCGACCAATTTTCTCCACAGAATAGTTGAGCTTAGAGATTCCTATTATATCATATGCATGCTGAATAAACTAGCCTGGATTAAAACCTATGGTGGCCATAGGCTGTAGAAAATGTTGTGCCCTTATTTTACTAGCCCTCTGTAAAAATATTCTCTTAATAGTTAGGTAATTAATTTTGTATTTATATATTTTTACAAACTTTTTACGTTTTTCAAAATTTTTTTTCATTGTAGATATTTAAAATATTTCATCGTTATTTGACTTGAATAAATTATAAATTAATACTTTTAACTTAGTCTCAACAAGTTTTTAAGTTATTTAACTTTGTGTAATAAGAGTAATTATATAGGTACGTGTTAATATGTTTGAAAGATATGAGAGCTATTATGATATGAAATTTAATTATTAATAATAGTCCATCAAGATGTATACTTAAAAAATTCTTAGAATTTGATTAAATTCATTACTAAGGGGAAAAATGGAGATGAGCATATTTGGCGAACCACCTTGTATATTTGTAACTTACCTGGAGAATTATTTTTAAAACTAATAAATAAAAACATTGAAATATTTATATGATCATCTGAAGCCTTATAATAATTATTTAAAATATCTGTGGTCAATAAAATCCACTAAGGTATTTCTAAGTGGGATTTCGAGATCTATACTATACCATATTCACTTCTCTGCTGCAGGTGTATAAGATTAACGAGCACAAGGTAAAACAGACGTTGTGCACTTTGCACAAGGGCCATAAAGGAATGTCCAAGACTTGTGCACAAACAATGTTCGTCCAGGAGGCTGGTCTGGTGCACAAGTCACATCTATACCGGTTGCGGTTGAACAAGTCGCAGCCGAAACATACACAGGGAAGCGCGCTGTCCATATGCAATAGCGTATGGCTGGCTATTTGTACCAATGGCATACAGTTGTTTCACGTGAGTTTCATTGAAAAATTCAACATTAATGATATTGTGCATTTTATTGATATCTATAATATAATCAGAAATTATCCAAGTAAAATTATTTTGGGCGGGGGACATCACCCAATTTCCACCAATAGCCTATGTGATATACTTATATGTATAATAATTTATAATAATAATTGATTCGATAAATGTTTATAAACAGGAAAGCTTGTCACAAGCCCTCAGTTGTTTGTTCTTGTGGAATAACATCGTCAAGCTGTGTTTCGACGTGAGTATAGCAAATATTAATAACTAATAATCAAAATAATAAGTCATATGGATATGGTATTTAGTTATTGTTACGTACACTATTTAAATTATAGTAGGTAATAGTATTTTACAATAGAATATAGTCGTATGTGCAAATCATTATTTGTTTTTAACAAAATGGTATTGACGTTGTAGCGTAAAAAATTCGAACTAAGACCGTCGAACGCTGATCGACTGGTGTACTACACAAATTCGGACGAAAAGAGCAAGAGGCTGTTAGCACTGTGTCGAGATACGCATCAATTTTGTATGACAGTACACCCGAGGCTTTTGGACACGTTTTTGAACAACAACACATCTGGTAAGTGCGCGAGACGAATTGAAAAATTAATGAATTTCTAACTGTCGCCGTGTCTATATATGCACGTTAATGATAACCCATTATTTTTTTGATTTTCGTGTTGTGTAGATAAGAATGCGTTCGATGGGCTGAAATGGACTAATGAGAAAAAATCAAAATCTATAAACGACGATGACGCCATCGAAAAGAAAAAATGCGAGAATGGCGGTTGCTCCGATTCCAGTATTTCGACGGCCGACCCGAAGACCTCTATTCCCAAGGACAAGGTATGTATATTATATAATGAGTACATGAGCGTTCCAAGTTTTATTTTTGTTTCGCAATCTCAACATTTATATTGATATGATTATATACTAGTTCTCAAAAAATAAATTTATTCAACTGTTAAAATTTATTTTTAAACATATAATTATAAAATGTAGGTAGAGAACTATATTCGATCTATCTATATTGTAGTGAAACTGCGCAAATATCATTAAAAAGTATTTGATAAATTTTAAATTGCTTTATTACGGACATTTTATAACCTGTTCCGTCAACAGTATAACATATTTAATAATAGTAAACTAAGACTAACTTCTTCATATAACACGCGTGATGCACTTTATTGCATCTGTTACCATTTTTCTAAATTACCTTAAGTAGGTGTACCTATATTGTCATTAAACAATTACAATATTATTCCACAATTTTTGTGTTTCGATTAAACTGAAATATGCAACTCATGCTATTTTTTGAATACCTTCTTAGTTCTTATTGCATATTAGTTGCAGTTTATATGGTTTAGATGATTAAACGTATATGTATCATAAATAAATTATGTAATCAACAAATATGTTGTACTTGTTTATGCGTCTTTGAAATAATTTTATACATAGTATATGCAGCGAACGAACATAAAAAACAAAAAAAATTGATTAATTACTTCGTTTTGACTATTGCAATTATTACTTACAGACACGTATAAACATAAATTTAACTTCATATATTACATTTAAAATCAACTGGAAATGATTCGACTTCAATTATAAAATTAACTAACTGGCCAGAAAAATTATTTTTTCCAACGTTGTTCAAATCAGTTCACTAGCCATCCTTTGCTCACCTTAATATTAATCACGGTGTCGTATCGCAGGTGCCGAACGGGAGCATATCGTCCAGTGTGGAACTGGGATACAGCCACACGGCGCAGAACTCGACCGTGTCCGAGTTGGACTACTCGGTGCAGTCGGCGCAGGACAGCAGCGACGCGTACCTGATGTACAGGCACCCGAGGGCCAGGGCGGCGTACGTGGACAACAGCAACCAATCGGCGAACACCAGCAGCGGCGTGTACACGTGCGCCAGCTACAGCACCGCGTCGAAGGATATATCCGCGTCGTACACGACCGATAACTGCAGCTGCAGCGTGGACTGCAATCACGGCGGCGGTT